TCTCTGGATACATGACTTGATCGGACACTATCCATTCCAATTCGGTCTGCTGTCCTAGCAATGCAGACGCCGTTTTTGTAACACCGTTTAGTATGATTTTGGCGTAGTCTTGGGCTCCCAGTAGCACATGTATTGGACCTGTGATGTTGAGGGTTGGGTCTGCTAGGATCTTGGTCTGCCATGGTTCCAAATCGAATTCCATTGACTTCATTGGTAACATCCCAGTTATTTTCGGTAACACGATGAGGTCTGTTGTCAGTGTGTATTTGCTAGACTGACGAGGGTGGAGATGTACCGTCACTTTTGCTCTTGCGTTGGTCGGATTTCCTTCTCCCAATCCAGATACCATTGCCCTTGTTTTCTGCCTGGGTACCATCAGTTGCTGAGCTGCTTGCTCGGTGATGAATGACGCTTGGGATCCTGGGTCTACCAGTGCTCGTAGTAGATGGCGCTGTCCCAGGATGTCTTGGGCCTGTACTATTGCTGTTGCCAAGAGGACTTGTTGATCTTCTTCCTTGATTTCCATTTCTTTGGCTGCTGTAGATGCGTGGGACATCGCTTGGCTTCCTCTTGTAGCTGGAGCTGTCCTTGAGGTTTGGTGTAGTAGCGAGTGGTGAGGGTACCTGCATGTAGAACAGTTTTTAAACGAGTAACATTTCGTATTGCAGCTATGGCGTATGCACTTGAAGCATAACTGTTGTTCTTTTACAATTTTGATTCTTTCGGCAACGGATAGTTTGCCGAATTTTGGGCACATTTCGATTTGGTGTTGTTCCTTACAGTATGTGCAGTTTGGTTGCTTATTTCCGACCCAGTTAGGCTTGTATGATGATGGTGGGTGATCTTCTCTCTTCATTGCTAACGCCTCCAGAGATTGGAATCTTGACTTCATGAACTCCATCACTTCCTCTAGTGCCGGCGCGGCGTCTCGGTTGGATTTTTGAGAGACTGCTCGAATATCCTGTTAGTTTCTGTGTCCCCTTTTCTGGAAATAAGTTTTGTTATTATTGGACCCCATGAGGTTGTATCATGTCCGATGTTGTTGATCCCTTCCAGACACTCGTGTATTGTATCGTGAAGCATCCTCACTTGATGTGCATCTTCTTTATGGCTCATCGGGAAGTCGAGTATTTTGTCCAGTAATTTTGATGTAATTAGTTTCGTGTTGTGGTACCGCTTGGTTATTATGTCCCATGCTGTTTCGTAATTCCTCTCGCTGATGTGTAGATGTTGAATCAACCTGGCAGCTTCTCCATCCACATGACTTTTTAAATAGTGCATTTTTTCTGTGCTGGATAACGCGTCGTTGGAGTGAATTAATTTCTGAAACAGGTCATGAAATGCTGTCCAATTCTCATACCCAGTCCTGAAGATGGGGATCTTGATTATCGGCAGTTTTATCTTACTGCTCGAATTCTGCCTTTCCATATTGGCGATTTGCTCCTGGAAAGCATCGTATCGCCTTTGTGCTTCTACGTATCTCTCGGTGGCAAAGTATTCATGAACGAACTCTATTTCGTTGGCCCTTATTTCTATTTCATCCTCACCTATTCTGTCCCAACATTTTTCGGCCCTATCACATAGCACCTTTATTCGGCTGCTATTCCGTGATTGCTTTTTGAGTTCGTCCTCCACCTGAAATAATAATTGTTCGATCTGAGTGATACGAACCTCCTGTTTCCTAATCCGCATCTCCTGTGCGGTGTCGCGTTTTTCGTGTTCTCCCCCTGTTTTTATCGACCTTTCTATCTTGTCCAGGTAGTCGCTGGCCTTGAGGTGAACGTCTTCCAACTGCCCTATGAAGTTGGTCTTGTGGTACTCGTGCTGTGGTTCTTTTAATTCCACTATCTTCTGGTGGTTTATCTTCACAGCCGAAATGTATCCTTGTAACTGACGGCGCCGGTCTGCTATGTAATTCGCTGTCTTTCTATCCGCTGGATCTTTTTTCAGGTTGGCCAACAGTTTTCCCATCTGTTGGCCCAGCTCCTGCTGTTGGGTGGCGAGGGTGTTCATTGGTTCCCTACAATTTTTTGCTTATTATCTGATTCCTCACCTTGGTAATCAGCTAGCAGTTTCTTTGTTGCCGCCGGGAATTTATTTTCCTTCGGGCGTTGCATATCCGTGCGTCCTTTTGCTCCTGCGGCGTGTTTCCGTCTTCTTGAAACGGTGTTTTTTCGTGCAGCGTTGGTGTGGCTTCTTGCGGCCTTTATTTGTTTTAAATCTTCTTACCCGACTATTCGATGGTGGTTATGTTGTTGCTGTGAGGGGCGTAAATCCTTACAGCTTTCGGGTTGCTTCTTCTGCTGCTACGAGAATCAGTTTCCAATTTCCGATGTTGGTATTCTTCTGCATTGGCTGCGTGCGAGTTGGGCCCTCTTCGTTGCTGGATCGACTTCCTTGCCGCTGGTGTTGGCTCGAAGGACCATGAACAATCTTCTGGATAATAGAAGACTGCTTGACGGGGGGTTGCTAGATGAGGCTGTACACCGTCACTTGTACAAATTGAAAGACTGGAGACCTCGCAACCCCAACGACTAAACGACATTCAAATCGATAGTGATTTATTGAGTATTATTTACAGTTTATATATACAATTAATTATAACGTATTTGTGTTTGTTTGACATAGTGTCCTTATTTCTTATTGCATTAGTTGGCATACGTTGCATTTTACGTATGCAATTATAGTACCTAATTTTCCATTGAAACTTGATGCTTTTGTAGTATTTCGCGGCCAGATTGCTGGCTTGCGTTTCACAACTCTTAATAAATTGTTACCTTATGAATTCATGATAATGTAATAACTGTAACCTAGTTCTAATTATACTATTGCGACAGCGATGTATTTGCCGCAGCTTCCTTGTTCCTCTGTTTAATATCTTTTGGTATTAAACACCCAGCCCACTTAATTATACATGTATTCGAGTATAACGTCAATATGACTTCATTGTATTTCCTATTTTTAAATTATACTGCAGGTATAATAAAAAATACTATAAGATACACGTGTATAATTAGTCTTTAAAGCACTTGCAACGTTAAAGGCACTCCGCTTTGCGTCGTGCCCTTAAACTCATTGCGCGTGCTTTAAAGACTTGATTATACACTTATGTGTACTATTTTGATTGCCATACTAATGCCTAACTAGAACCGATATTTACCGAAATAAATGCGCAGAACCGAAACGTTATTTTTTTTAGAAACGAAACCGGACTGGAACCTTTATATTTTCGCTTAAATATAAACAGAACCGGAACCGGTGCCTGATTACAGGTGAGTAGAATGACCACACTTTACCGCTATTCTACTCTCTACTATTTTCGAGTAGGCAAGCCCGTAATTTAATTATAGAAATTTGGAATAATTACAATTACAATGCCTATTTTTGACTTAAAAATGATTAAACAACGTTTCTTGTTAATTGCTTGCGAATTTCGTTAATTAGTGTTCATTTGAAATTGGGGAATCACCAAACGTTAATTATCTTTGCACGTCACACGTGTATTTACGCTGGAAAAAACTAACTCATTGTGTTTTGTTTTCAATGTTTTGATAAGCAAAGATAACACAAAAACGTGCAAAATAATTTGATTTCACTCTGAATTTTTCCCTAAATCGTGAGAGTGTCAGTACATAAGGAACCGAGGAAAAATACTAACTAAAGTTGGAAATTTTAGAAAAACTAGCTGAAGCACCTGATTCGTAGATTACTCATGTTAGAGACAACAACGGTGCATTGAACAAATGTAGCCTATTATCAAACATGCATCACTGTAGCTATACAGGGTGTAACAATTAATATGACAAACAAAAACGCATAAACGAATTTGCGATTCTTCTTCAATTATTACGCAGCCTTCTCGAGTAGTCCTGAAGGTGTATCATGCTTCAAGGAAAGAATGCTTCGCATCCGCTTTCATTCCTTATCGCCGGTGACTTCGACTTCATATTCGACTTCATATGGTGCCTCGATGTCTGTCTGTCTATAGCACTAATGTCATGCGTCACATTATTGACAAATATTTCTTTGAATACCAAAATATTGCTAAGTACACGTAAACCTAACTTAAGTATATAATATCTACGAATTCCACCTTAAGTTGTTATCGGCTAAAACGTATAGAGTTTAAAACTTACTTGAAGTTCACGATCGTCCATGGCAGCTCCACATAAAAATCTACCGTGCCAAAGGGGAATTTCTCGAATAAATAAAATAAAATCTTTTGATCACTTCTAGATATATTAAAATTAAAATATTAACAGATTTTGACAAGATAAAAGCGCCGTTTTATATTATTTAAATTACCAAAGTTTATCTTACCCTTAAAGCCACGGTAATGGAATGAACATACAAATATAAGAAAAATGCGATTACCTTATTTTAAAATATCAATTACCCCAAGCTTACTGGCTCTTTGACTCGGTTACAGGTTGTTTGCTATTGTATTACGAAAAATTGAAAACTCCTGGACTGTTCAAAGGAAAATAGCTTGACTTTTCTTGTACATTTTTCAAGATTACACAATTTACGGACTCCAAGGGAAAAAACGGTTAGTTAGTTTTTTATTTTACAGAATACACCTGCAAAATGTTTGCTAATTGTTTCCAGCGGGCATTTTTATTGGTTCAATTAATAAACTTCAGCCCCTTTTACCAATCCCACGTAAAAAAAATTGTCAGAAGCCGCGATGGTTAAAAAACCTAAGTAATAAGTTCTCATGCTGCGTTATGCAACGGATCCAGAAATGGACAACTATAACCCATTAACTCAGCCTTATCTCCCGTCAAACTGGTGCGACAAGCATTCTCGCGCAATTAATCGGCTACAACATTTTGGAGAACCGCTGAACTAATTGGAACCAAATTTGGTACACATATTCTTAGACATAAAAGGCAGAGCTGAAAACCTCATGGGCAGAATGGCGCCTACGCAGGTGTGCGGGTGGTATCTTTGCTAGCCACAGCTAATTTTTTTAATAACCAAAAATTATAACTCTCTGAGAAAATGATGTATTTGTTCTTAATTCAAATCTTGATACTTATTATTTAAACCCGAACGGTGGTTTCGAACCCTCTTCCGTCTTAGAAAACTCATCGAATATGTTTACATTTTGGACACTTCCACTATTGTTTAAACTAAAATCGCTGGGCATCTTGAGATTACGGATCATACATTCGCTAGACTAAAAGATGTGCTTTAGATTTCTAACTATGGATACCTGTACGTACTCGGGATGCAGAATCGTTTTTCATTGACACAAACGATTGTATCGACGTTCCTCTGGGATTAACTCGTTTAGTTAACGCGAAACTTTGGTTCCTTCTTTTTTGCTTGATCCCGCTCAGCTTCTTATCCAATACGTAGTGGCGCAGACATCGAACGGAAATGTTGGACGACTAAAAACAAATGCAAACAAGTATTGTGTACAACTCATGTGCATATAAAGCGCATTTTTTTACACCGAAATAGCTTAGTAATTAGTAGCTTTATAAGGTAGTAGCATGCTATATTTATCGATGTTTGCTTTTTTTGTTAGATGATTAATGGGGAAACTTCACCAATAGATATGTCTCGTCCAGACAATTCATCTTGCCTTTGTGGGTACTTCCTTCCCTCCGACAAAACGTTTACGACATATTCGCTCGTAAAGTTTTGACATCACCAATAGATGTATTTCTTCCAGGTGTCCCAATCTCCTTTTGCGAGTACCATCCTCCAACAATTTGTTCTTGAGATATAAGGAATTTTTATATCCGATCACGATAAGGAGCCAATGAGGAGGCTATGGTTAGTAGAAATTAATTCCTTTCGTTGAGACTTTTCATTTATAGTACCATGAGAAGTAACCCCCCCCCCTCCTCCCCAAACCCCTGATACGATTTTTTAATTCTTAAAACATGCGCTAAAAATAACGATAGCTCTTTTTTCACTTACAATTTCAGCCATCTCGTCCTCATTCTCTTGAAATGTAACCTGATCCAAATCATTTGCGGGGATAATCATCAGTTTGGGATCCGTGACCGTGTCATTAAACTCCCCTCTGGGAAAGTATATCTTTTGCTCTGTCCTGTAAAGTCTGGTTCCAATTAACTTCCTAAAAGCGGAAACTAACCTAGGAACGTAGCAGGGAGCGGTGGCATAGGCCTCGGAATTGGGATAATAAACGACACCTTCAATCAAAATCAAATCCTCCATCGTGTCATTAATGTTCAAATGTGAATATTTCGACAAGTTTGGTATGAATCCGCGTTGCAGTTGGACTTGGATCTGTTCGAATGTGATCGATTGATATGCGGGGGTGTCCATTAGAATAGATGCGCATAGCCTCACAGTCGCGAACTTCCACATTTTTGCCTCCAAACTGAAATAAATCAGTTGAGTTGAGGGGCGGTGTGATAATTGTTACCCATTGATAGGGTCATTGTTCATAGTGAATGCCTTCGTCAGGACATCTTTACGGATGTGGTACACTTGAGATGCTGTTTCTGCTTTTATTGTACAGTCATAGGCTCGCCCAGTTAGCATGCATAGTTCGCCGATGCTGTTGCCGGTAACCAAGTACTCTTCAACCCGTTGGTCAAATTTGGCGCTAGAGATGTAGTCCATTATTGGTAGGATACCGAACGACTGAAGACGCTCTAAAGTATGCATTTTAGGGGCGTATGTCATTTTCAACAACCCTACAAATTGGTGTAGATTAAATCATAGTCGGTAAAGCGCTACCGGTGACTATAATGTATATCCCATCCATGAGATCCCCGTCCGCGCATATAATATCACCGGGATCAAATAGTTTGGTCACTACGTTATTGTAGAGGTAGTGATAGGTCGACTGGTCACTCATCCAGGACACCTCCTTTAGTAACTCTTTGGGCGAGAGGGGTTCGACAGACGTCATCTTAGTATCAACGTATTTATGCCGTTCCTCTAGAGCTTTGTTCAATTTAAAATACTCGTACTCGTCCAGCCACCCTAAAGATACGACCTTTGCTCTGGATCCGTGGATTTATTTTTACCTAAAGCTTTCAAGTCGTCGACGGCAGCTTTCATGCTATTGAGCGTGGACCTCACCGCTTGCTTGGTTTTGACGGTGACGGCAATCCAAGGTCGGTCTTTTTGAATGATTCCCAACTCTTTTGTAACAGAAAGGCGGTCGCCGTCTATCTGATCTTGACACTTCTCTCTGATTCCTTTATGATCAATAATTTGAGACAACATCGCCGCCACTTCCTCTTCGGCCGTAACATATCCCTGCAATTACTTTGTACGCGCGCTCATCCTCCAAACTCACTCACCTTTCCGATGTCGTAAGCAAACGCCAGCTGCGCATCCACTTTTGAGTTAAAGTACTGAATCATGTTTGGGTACCAAACTTTACATAGTTTCAACAAGCTAAGCATTCTTAGCAACCTGGCGGCCTCCAACACGATGGTAAATTGCCATAAAAAGGACTCGGTGTCTACTGGTAGTAAGAACACGTACTCCACAATGACATGCAAAAATTCTGTGCAGAGGAGAACAAAATCAAAAATCTTCCCGCGAATGCTACAAGTACACGATTAAAAGCAATCCCGGAACTATCAAATTACTAACGAGAAGTATGTTCTGAAACCATTGGCACAAACGTATATAAACGAGAAAGCGTATATATTTAGGATGAATTCCACAAAAAATATAAGGAAAAGGACCGTATTTACAACGATTAGAATGTATTGCAAATTGGAACCCCAAGTCGGTGCGCACAACCATTCCACGAGCACCGCGGCTGAATCGCATAGAATGAAGATGTAAATCATCCAATCAAACTTGGAGTTGCTAATTAGGTAGTAGCACACTCGCCGCCACCGTCTCCGAGGGGGTCTAGTCTTCAGTTCTGTTTCTTGAAGACAAGGCACCACTAACTTGTTGCATATGTAATTGAAAAAACTCTAATTTGCATTGATAGTAAAAGACTAGCGCTATACAGGGTGTAAACGGGACTAGGGAACGCGATTTTTCTCGGAAGTTATTAGAGATGCAAAAAATCTTCCAAATAAAATTTTTAGTGTTTCTAGTAAGCTACATAAATTAATGTAAATCAGAAAAAAATATTTTAATTTTCTGATATACCTATTTTTGACTTTTTTTAAAATCATACGCCCTGTATATTTTTATACTATTTGGTAGGAAATAATTTTTGCTTTAAAGACTTTCATAAGTTACACCTTCTAAACTTAATAATAGAATTCGAGATATTAAAGAAAATATTAAACCAATCTTACTAAAAAATAAAATGAATTAAACAAATATAGCAAACGAGCTCCTGGGTATGGCTATCGCATGTGCAAAACCAAATTTTAAACCTGATGTTAGTTTTGCTTTTATTTAAAATGAATATGTATGAAATTTCATTTAATTGCTTCCATAAATAAGAAAGTTGGCACTGCACATCCTACAAAAAACCGAATTTGGAAAATGGCGCTACATTTGCTTTTATTCCAAGTGGCTATGTATCAAATTTCATTTAAATCCCTCCATAAATAAGAAAGTTGACAGTGCGCATGCGCAAAATCAAATTTTGAAACTGGCGTTAACTTTGATTTTATTCCACTTCGACTTCAGCTTACAAATAAAATCCATAGTCTCCATCCTGACGATTTTTCAAGAAGACTTCACTTTTGCAATTATGTAATTCGGGAATATCGTACAAATCCACATTTCTAAATAAATATTTATGGACAGATGAAAGCCACTTTTCCAATAATGGTATATTTAATAGGCATAATACGCATTATTGGCAAACCACAGACATAAATCCACGCGAAACATGTATTACCAATTTTCAAGTACGTTTTTCAACTAATGTGCGGTATTGTTAATAATATTTTTATGGGTCCATATTTTATGATGACACTTTAACTAGGTACTTCAACAAGATGGTGCACCTGCGCACAATACAATAGATGTAACAAACTATTTAAATCAAGAATTTCCGAATCCCTGGATTGCAACAAGAGGTCCTATAATGTGGCCTGCAATGCAAGATCTCCCGATTTCTTTCTGTGGGGTGTCATCAAAAACAAAGTTTATGTTACGCGCATTACTATACTTGAAGACTTAAAACATAGAATAAGACAAGCTGTGAACGAGTTAAATAATAAAATTAATAATACTGCGTAAATCAACATTTGTTAAAAAAGCCCAATTTTTGTATAAGTAGGAGAAAACGTTGAAAATTTTGAACAATTTTTATAGTGTTACCAGTATGGAAATAATTTGATGTACCGGGTGACCCAATAAGACTGTTCCTCGGCCATATCTCGGGAACCGTTCGTCGTATGACTTAGGGATAAAAATGTTTCAAAACCCACTCGTGGGTATTGCCGCGTAACACAAAGCATTGAAACGATGCATTGTCATCGAAAGCACACGCAAAATGTCGAATCTGCATATTGAATCACGTCCAGGTCCATAGATAGAGAGGAGTTAAATAAGTAAAATAAAGTTTCAAAGAAATATTACCAATACCTAAGAAAGTTGGCTATGAGCAGTCTGTGCAGTCACTGCGCATGGTCACATAATTTTTACTATGTACGAAATGTTTGCCTTTACTAGAAGCGTCTGTGGTTAAAATTTCAAAGAAATATCTCCATAAATATGACAGTTGGCATTGCGCAGTATGCGCAAAATATGGAGTCAAATGAAATGGGCAAATATAGACCATAACATCTATCAATTAGCAAAAACCCGAAGTCTCTAGGTGGCCCAGGGGCCGAGATCTCGATGGAACAGACGGACAGACGGAAACACGAGCACATAAGCTTTACCTCAACTTCGTTGTGTTACGCTAAAAAAAGTATTGCGTAAATCGGTTATGAAGAATCGCTGGAAAATATTTTCAAGTTCTAAAAATGACCGCCAGAGGGCGTAACTGCCAACTTAAATTTTAAAATTGCATTTTCTTTCAATTTCGCATAACAAACTAAACATTCTTTTTTCACATTTTTAAAGAGAACCAGTTATCTATCATTTTCGTAAAAACAAAAACTCAGTTATTTCAAAAACAAAGATGTTGTGGGGCGTTCAATTGTCTTTGCAATAACCTGCTTTAACTTCTTAACCGTTTGACCGATTGTAGCAAATTTGGTATCGTTGAAAGAGCATTCCTTGGGTAATAAGAATGAATTTAGTTGAATCCTTCCCCGCTAGGGGGCTAGTTTTGACACTATGACCCAACATCCTAAAAAAATTTTTAAAATCTAATGGAATGATATGACTTTTTCTTTATGAAAAAGTAGCCAAATAACATCCAAAGAGGCCAATGAAAACCGTTTTTCAAAATCTCGTTCCTAACCTCAAATATTGGGGAAATGAAATTAATTAATTGATTAATAAAAATGCTTAAATCGTATCTTAAATTTACTTTATTACTTTATTAATCTCATTTTCCCAATCTTTGAGGTAAGGAACGAGATTTTGAAAAACGGTTTTCACTGGCCTCTTTGAATGTTATTTCGCTACTTTTTCATAAAGAAAAAATCATATCATTCCATTTGATTTTTTTGATTTTTTTAGGATTTTAGATCATAGTGTCAAAACTAGCCCCTTGGCGTAGAAGGATTCAACTAAAAAACTATATTTGATTCTTGATCTTGATTCTTATTGCTCAAGGAATGCTCTTTTCAACGATACCAAATTTGTTACAATCGGTCAAACGGTTAAGAAGTTAACCCAGGTTATTGCAAAAACAATTGAACGCCCCACACCATCTTTGTTTTTGAAATAACTGAGTTCTTGTTTTTACGAAAATGATAGATAAACTGGTTTTCTTTAAAAATGTGAGAAAAGAATGTTTAGTTTATTATGCGAAATTGAAAGAAAATGCAATTTTAAAATTTAAGAGGCTGGCTTATTGGTACTGCCAAAGCCAAAAACAACAACAAAAATTTAAAAGGCAGTTACGCCCTCTGGTGGTCATTTTTTAGAACTTGAAAATATTTTCCAGCGATTCTTCATAACCGATTTACCCAATAATTTTTTTTACCCCTAAGTCATTCGACGAACGGTTCCCGAGATATGGCCGAGGAACAGTCTTATTGGGTCACCCGGTACATTTGTAATTTAAAATATTTTGAAAATCAATAATTTTGTTTTCATAGCCAGCTTTAATATATATATTTTTATAATTTTTTTTAATATCTCGAATTCTATTAAGTTTAGAAGGTATAACTTATGAAACTTTTTTAAAGCAAAAATTATTTCCTACAAAATAGTATAAAAATATACCGGGCGTACCAATAAAAAAAGTTAAAATTAAAATATTTTTTTTCTGATTTACATTACTTTATGTCGCTTACTAGAAATTGTATTTGAAAGATTTTTTTGTATCTCTAATAACTTCGGAGAAAAATCACGTTCCCTAGTTTCGTTTACACCCTGTATACAGGGCAATACCTGGCGTTTGAAGTATTTGTACAATCCGGCCAAGTCAATTACGGCATCTGGTGTATCTATCGCGACCTCGACTGCTTGACATAAGATCTTCACACTATCCTTGCACAGCATGCCCGTTTGGTATTGACGTATGTAGGACATCTTTTTGGATCTCAATATTCTGATTCTAGCTTCTCTGCAACGCAAATTTAGAACATATTTTAACAACGCCAAGAGTATACCTCAGTATTTCCCGCCAGTCTCGCCTGGAAGGTTCATATGGCAACTCTCGTTTGCAGTCAGGGCAGTACACAAGTCGTGTACTTGAATACGTGTCTTCGTCGTCTTTACTGGTCCGCTGATCGGACTGTAATTGCGGCTTGTAGGGGTGTGTTATTTGGGTAACTTCTATAACAACTCTCCAATTGGCATCTGACAAAAATCTAAAGAAATAGATCTGTAAACTTGCAGTGGAGCTTCATTTTGATACCTGTTCATCTTCATGACAGCGATTGTGCGAAACCTTCGCGTTTGAACGTGTCGCATACAAGAATTCATATTGACCTTCCTCAGCTCGGAAACTTGAGATATTCCTAACACATTCAAAAGAAATCCCGCGCTTAAACCGTTTATCAATACGGTCAGAACTTGGAGAGCAGAAATCAGAAGCAAGATCTTCTTCCTTAACTGGTATTCCACTATTTCATTGATGTAAAACTCTAAAGCTAATATGAATGGTATGGGACCCTTCATTAAGCTCCAAATAGCAATAATCATTCCTTTGAATGTTAAACCATAACCGATTCTGCTGACGATGGGTGTCAACAGCGAATAGGTGAAAACTCTGCCACATAACGCGACTATGTAAGTGACCACAATTATAGAACAGTCGTACATGGCAGTTTCAGCTTTGATGAGGTACACAGTAAAAAAACCGGCCAATACGCACACCGTACAATTGACAAGGTATCCGACGAAGCTCCAGAAAGTTAACAAGAAATTTTCCATTTCCGTTGAAAGACTCTGCCTTTCGCCTCCGGTTATAAAACCCAACACAAACAGCGCGATTACACCAGATGCGTTGACAAATTTATTTGCGGTATGGTACACCAGACATGCCGCAGCAAACGTTAATGTCAACATGCTGGTGGTATTGCTATAAATCGCATGCATCACAAAGACCAATACTTGGGCGGTAACAAATCCAATGAGCAGTCCGCTCAGCACATGCCATAAAATTGATAAGGGCATTTCGTAAATATTCGCAAAATCGTAATTCATAAGTTTAACCAGTAGATTGTAAAGAATCAGCACGGTGCCGGCTCCTATTATAGCTTCGCCTTCGAGTAACGTACTCAACTGTTTAGCCTGTCCGTGTTCTTTAAGAGCGTGTATCACCTCCACAGGGTAGATCGTAGAAATAAGCACCCCCAGAGAGATTGAAGTGGTAACGTGCAACTTCTCTCGCATAAGCAGCAACATCATTGTAAGCCCGGTCACACATCCACTGATTACCAGTCCAGGCATTGCCAGTAAGAATATTTGACCCCAAGAGCGCAAAAACGTGTGATGGTCCATCGCAAAGGTCGACTTAAATATAAAGAAAGGCACCATGTAAAAATTCCATATCTGTATTTGCACGAGTAATCTGTTAATTATTTCTTTCCAAGCACTACGGTGTATTTTCGATACAATCCCAAAAATGACACCCACGAGGACCATTGTTGCCCGTCTGGGAAACGTCGGCGAGAAATGTTTAATGAAAGCCTGCGTAATTGCGACGACTATAAGTGCAACGAGGAAACACGTAACTAATCCCTTAATATCATCTTGGTGGTTCATTTTGTCCACACCAAAAGTATCTTCATGCGTAAACATTTTTAATTAGGTAAATATAATTTTATACCTTTAGCACTTTGACGTTTGAGAACTTTGATCTATATTCAAGTATAAAAATAAATTTATGAAATCATGGCACTTTTTATTAAGAGTAGGTACCTATTCTAAAATATCGACTTTAAAGTAGAGAAGTCACATGAAAGCTTTTCTGCACTCAGAACTTTCTAGGTGCTTTTTGGTGCTTATCAAGCCCTTTCAAAAGTGACGTTACAGAAAAAATGGATAAGGCTAATAAGGCTCCTCTCAACGGGTCTAGTGTAGACCTAACCTTTTTTAGAGAGAATCCATAGATAAAAATGCGGGAGTGTAGGGCTAACCCTTCCTCTAAACATACAAATCAGACCCATTAATTAAGATTTTCCCTAAAAACAAAAAAAACAACCGAACTACTCTTAAAACTACAACTCCTTTTTTTACTTATTCCGCACAACATCCGATAATGTTTTATTCCGCCAAAAACTAGCAGCTTTCTACAAAGTTTAATGCTGAAACTTACACGGAAAATATGCTAAAACTTCCCAAGTCAAACAAAACGCACGGACCGACGGACTTCTGGGCGTGGCTGGAATTGAAGTTAGCTTCCCAGCTGTGGTCTGCACGGACCGGTCACAGAATCCGATCAGTGTTACGACGACTAGGAGAGGGGTTGCAACTTCCACCCCACCATCCACTAGCGCCCTATTGGCCGCGTCGCCAGACGCCTCTACCGGAAATCGTTTATAAGCAGCGCACCGACAGGGGAACTTCACTTGTGCCTGGGCAAGCCTACCTTACCCTATACAAGCGACTGAGGCTGGTCGCTTGGGCTCAAGTACCGTCTCCGCACGCCATCACTTCCCGGCTTGACCGTAGTCAAGTCCGGCGCCATCCCACGTGCCAGAAGCGATCTTATATATGTACATATAGCCTCTGTATTATTTGTAAATATTGTGTAATATACGTTTTCAACCTCCGTTTGCCACTTACGTTACCCCGCCCGGTAACAATTGGCGCCCATACGTGTGAGTCAACCAGCAGCATCGCGCTCTGAGGATCTACGCCCACGCTCCCGCGACAGCCGACGCGCAACACCATGAATACGAGGAGCAGGAACACCCCGACGTCCAACTCCGGCGCCGACGAAGGTATCGACACTCAAACAACGGAGATGACCCCGGCAATCAACCCCGGTCTGGACCCGGCAACCCCGTCCAGTGGCGCCCAACACTCTCAACACACCCTCGACATGCTAAAGGCGCTGACCGACGCCCTCCAGAACGCGCAGAAAACCGCATCACCGGACCTACCGACCTTCAGCGGCGACCACCTGGAGGACCCAACAGTCTTCTTCAGCACGCTCGAGCAGACAATCCAAACCACCGACCCGGCGGAAAAGTTAAAAACAGCAGCAGCACAACTAAAAGGGGAGGCTGCGAAATGGTGGAACAGTTACGAGGCATTTTCACCGACATACAACGACCTAAAGAACTACACCCGCGAAAAATACGACAGCAGCAAGATTCGCGGGAAGATGCAATCAGAATTCTTCGGCCGAGAACAAGGAGCAGAGTCGCCGCAGCAATTCCTCCAGAGGAAGGCACAGCTAGCAAAACGGCTGAAGATCCCGATCGGCGAGCACCTCGAGCTACTGAGAGACCTGCTGCACCCACGCATTAGAGTAGCCTTTTTAACCACAACACCCACTTCACTCCTCGACTTGGTGCGTCACGCCGAGGAAATCGAAAACTGCAACAAAGCGCTACCTCGAAACAACCAACCCAGACCATCGCCACCAACCCCCGCCGACAGACCTCCCAACACACCAAAGTGCCACCACTGCCCGGAATATCACTTCCACCGAGACTGCCCAGTACTGACCCGCCGCCGAGACCAGGGAAACGGGGCAGCGGTCGGGAACAATGCCCGGCCGTCCACCTAATCCAGACTGCGACCCGACCCAACCTACCAACGCTGGCAGTCAAGGTACGCGGAAAAAGCGTAAGAGCTCTCCTCGACTCCGGATCATCCCATAACTTCATCCAGAAGGAGCTCGCGTGGAAAATCCACCATAGCAACCACCAAACAGCCGGCCTAGCGAACCCCCGCCATCAGCTGGAAGTCATCGGCACATCCAGAGTCGAGTACACGCTCAACGACAAGCAAGAATCGGACGACTTCCTGGTGACACCAAACCTTGTCGTGCCCATGATCTTGGGACAGAAGTGGCTCCAAGAACATCGAGCGGTGCTGGATTACGAGAGAGCGTGCATCCACTGGGGAACCCATACAAGGCAGACAACACACTGGGACCAAGCTCCGAACCGCGGCCCAACAACGAGCGACTCCATAAACTTCGCCGGAGTCAAGCACGGGTTCCAACCACCACTCGATCGACGCCTGGCCACACTGCTGGAAACTTTCGGTAGCACACTGGCCGATCCTGCAACGCCCACAACAACAGCATCCACCACACATCGCATCCGAGTCACCAAAACAACGCCCTTCCGACTTCCGCCATATCGACATTCGCCAAACAAAAAGAAGGTCATCGCGGATGAAGTGGAAGCTATGTTAGCAGCGCAGGTGATCGAGCCCAGCACGTCCGAATATTGCTCGCCCATCGTCATAATTCAGAAAAAAGACGGCCGCCCGAGATTCTGCATCGACTACCGTCGTCTAAACGCCATCACAAAAGACGAGAGCACCAACCTGCCAGTCATACAGGAGACCCTCCGAGACCTGGGGACGGCCAAAGTTTTTTCCAGCCTGGATCTCAAATCAGGCTACTGGCAGGTGCCGCTAGAGACGGAATCCCGACATCTCACCGCGTTTTCAACCCCTGATGGAGCGAGTTATCAATTCAAAGTAATGCCGTTCGGGCTCAAGAATGCACCTGCTACGTTCCAGAAGCTAATGACCCAGGACGTTCTCGCCGGGTATTTACGGAAATTCGTCATGGTATACCTGGATGACATAATAATCTACTCAGACTCCTGGGACGAGCACCTCAAACATCTACACCTCGTGCTGGAACGACTGCAACGCCACAAACTCCGCTTGTCCCTCGAAAAGTGTCGCTTCGGGGTGCAAACGATCCAATACCTGGGCCACAACATCACGGCGAACGGGAACCGCCCGTGCCAGGAACACATCGAAGCAATCCGGACCGCAGACCGGCCCACCTCGAGGAAGAAGCTAAGAAGTTTTCTAGGATTGACCAACTGGCTACGAGAGTACGTGCCCCGGTGTGCCGAATTACAAGCACCGTTGGATAACTTACTAACAAAGAACACCCCTTTCCGATGGACAGCGGCAGCCGACGTCGCCTTTAGCCAGTTAAAAGCAGCACTTAGCAAACCACTCCAACTCAGCCGTCCGGACTTCGCCACTCCATTCGTGCTGCAAACCGACGCCAGCGAAAACGGGATTGCGGCCGTACTCTTTCAAGAACCCCACCCCGGAGAGAAAAAAATTATCAGCTACGCCAGTGCCAAACTTAACCACGCGCAGAGACGCTACCATATCAACGAACAGGAGTGCTTGGCAGTAGTGTGGGCCATTAAACGATACCGGCCATATCTGGAAGATAGACGTTTTACGTTGAAGACAGACAGCCGCGCTCTCCTGTGGCTGGATCGCACAAAAGACGAAAAGAGCAAGCTAACTCGTTGGGCATTACGGCTCCAAGAATTTACATTTGATGTGGTCCACTGTCCGGGGAAAGAAAACGAGCTTCCAGACCACCTGTCCCGCCACCCATCAGCAGAAGAAGCCGAAGAAGCCACGGCAGAAGACGTAAACCGCATGCTGCCACCTACGACCACACACGAGTCCAAACAAACCAACAGCACCCCGGTAATCGCGGCAGTGGAAGTGGCCAATTTGGCGGACCATGTGAAGGAGTGCCAAAAGACAAACGAAAACGCCATCGTTCTGGTACGCACCTGGCACAGAATACAGCAGGAAGGACCAGCGACACCAGCACAAGCAAGGTTCAACCGGGATTACACGGTGGACAACGGTTACCTCTACCGCAAAGCACCCCAAGGGAACCTACTCGTAGTCCCCTGCAGCCTTCAACCAGCGGTACTAGAAGCGTACCACAACGCAGCCACAGCTGGACACCCAGGAGCCGAAGAAACGGAACGGGCCATAATGACACATTACCACTGGGCGAAACTGGGAGACACGGTGCGGAATTATGTACGAGCATGTTGGATTTGCGCGGCAGTCAAAAGAGGCCCGGTCCAGGACGCCACCGTACGCCCACGCAAACCCACACGACCCTGGGAAGCGGTTTCCGTAGACTTGATGGGCCCCTACGACGCCACACCTACAGGCTACCGCCAGATAGTCGTGATCACGGACCTCTTCAGCATGTGGGTGGAGGCATTTCCAGTAAAGGAAGCAGTCGCTCCAACAGTGGTCAGAATCCTGGAACACGAGGTATTCGCACGCTATGGTTTCCCGAGAGCGATCATCTCAGACAACGGACCGCAATTCACATCAGTGACATGGGACGCGGCACTTCGGAAGTGGGGAGCAATGCACTGGACGACGCCCATATGGCACCCGCAGGCGAACCCCGTCGAACGCCGGAACCAAGAAATCAAAAAGGGCCTCCGCACTCATCTGGTGGGACAAAGCCCCAGCGCCTGGGCGGCCGTACTACCCATTGTCATGTTCACGTTACGTACGAGGAGAAACGCCGC